AAACAAAACAAGTCATCATTGTATCAAAATGATGTTAAAATTGTTCCAAAATGATCATTAAAAGTCATTTTTCAATTATTCTAATGTCATTTTGACTTTATTGTGACTTTCTGTTCTAATTGCGTATATATTATATTGTATACACAAGATATATGCTATACATACAATATTGCTGTACAATTAGTTAATAATAATATATTTTGTGGGTATATTTAATTGCAAAATATAGTGTTATAAAATAAATGTGCATTATATATGTTTAATTTTTATTTTATTTTCTCTTTCAAATGCGTCTCGTTTTTCACTGTGAGTATTAAATATCTATATAGTGTAAACGAGAACTATAGATTTCTGTATTCGCTTCTTCTTCTTCTTCTAAATTTGGGTGGCCCAGGTTCCGTAAAGAAAAGAACGGATTTTCGTGGCCAGTCGGAACAAATAAAAAATTCAGTATACAAGGCACCGGCAGCCTCGAAACCGGGCAAAAATGCATGAGTGATGCAATAACGAATAAAAATGGCGCGCCCCCCCAAACACTGGACGCCTGTGGCTACGACGCCCGTAACACGTTCTCCGCACCGCACGGCCACGCGCCCAGACGAGTGAGAGGACTCTCAAAGTCTTTTCAAAAATATTGGTCGAGGCGCAATATATCTTGAGACGGGGCGAAACACGTCCGTCCCGCTCGAGTGTCCTCACGAGACTTTCTGTATTCGCTGTGAATAATGGAATAAATTAAGATAATTTTATAAAAGTTACTTGTTAGTACGCGTATTAAATGTTCAAATGTGCAAATTAGGTTAGGACATTGCTAGAACATAAATTAGAAAGAGAGAAAAGGTTATAAACAGATAGCAGAAGTGAGATAGAATACAGTGCCCTGATTGGTTACGCGCCTCGGCCGCGCATGCGCACTCCATTTTAGGCTTCACTAACATCAAAGGTGCCGACAGAGAGTTGCGCTACTGTATATACTGTGATTACACCATGATCCTATCTAGTTAAGTCTCCTTACTCTTACTTCATGCTTGTGATTCGTAATCCATCGTAATCGTGAGCACGTGTTGTGTATGAATATCACGAAGGCTCATAAAAAAGATGGATCTAAGTAAGCAATCGCCACATATAATCCGCACGACACAGCAAGATAAATCGAAAAATCTTGGCTATGTTTCGAAACGCGATCAAATAGCGAAGCAATATCATATCATCAGAAGTTGGAAACCATGGAGTGATGTGTATATATACATTATTCTCTATTAAAAAGTCTTATTTTTTTCGACATCACTTTTTTTTGAACGATTTGTTTCGTCTTTCACACCCGTTAGTGCGGGCGCGCGGGAAGTTGTCATGCAAAATTTCCCTCACAGTAATACCTAATAAAACAGTAAAGCCTTTCATCTAGATGGCCATTGAATTTTGGACGCAATATTCTGATCAGTACGACGGTGATTACCAGCATTTATATTAATCATCTATTTAGAAGGAAGATGAAGCTCCGAAATTATGGAACAGTCCCCACGATGTTAGGTCTCACAATAACGCCAGCTGCAGTGACAGCTTTACTCCATTCACAGGTATTGGTGGAAAAACCGATTAAATTTCTATACAGTATAATGTCCAAAGGAATGCTTTGAAGATGTCTAAACGACATCTCTATGTCCCCTGATCTACACAGCTCTGTACTGCAGAGTAGTGCAATTCTTTTATTTGAGCCAAATGCCAATAACTTTCTCATTGGCTGTTTTGACTGCTATTTTTGACTTAATCTACCTCATTTCATAAATAAATAATACCTAATAAACGAGAATAGATAAAATAGATTGAGATTTTAATATGTTTGAATCCATCTAAATGCATCCTTTAGTTGCATTCATGGTTTAACTTTTTTTTTAAATTCAATTGGATATAGAAAATCTTTTTTTGTTAAATATAACTGAATTGAAAAACTAGATTTTTTCTATTAAAATTTTGTATTGAGCAGTATTCACAAGGCACTTAAAAAATTGAATTTTTTTTAAATGTTGATTGAAAGATATAGAAATGTGCTTCATACAATTCCTATAAATGAATAAAAATGCATTTGGATTAAAAAAGATTTATTTTAATGTATGCAAATATGTCCTTTCAAAAATTTAAATCTATTTTAATTAATTTTATTTTAATAAGTAAGTTTAGTGAATAAACCTAGGTAGCCTAAATAAACTTAGTAATTTTTTAAATGTAATATGGTTATCAGGTCAAGTATGATAGACTTTTGAATTATTCTGATACATGTAGAGTTCTATTTTAAATGTTCTAAGGACATTCTTGGGATGTCTCTTGAATAAAGCATGCTGTATGGATTAAACCAGCATTCTGAACTAGGAATTTGATAATACAAAATACTATATATCTTTCAGTTGATCATAAATAAGCTATTATTATTAGAGATACCATGTTCTTTATGCATGGAGTCCAAGTCTGCCTTGTCGCAAACTTGTAGTGGAGTGTTTTTGCCACTGATACTTGCACCGATTGCAAACTTCTCAGTAAGTGACAAAATTTTTTTCTATTTATGTTTTTCATGATATTATTCTTTCGATTGGTTTATCACATCATTACATGAATCACAGATTGCTGCTGGAAGTGGAATATATAATGTGCCATATATAACTAACGTAAGAGAAATATTTAGACAAGTCTTGACAATCTATCAGCCAATGTTTCCCAAGATTGCAATGATATTTACTTTTCATGCATTGCTGGCTGGTTTTATAACATATTCAGAAATAAAATCTTACCTTCGAATGCTAGATACACAGTACTTAATAGAAGAAGAAAAAAAGGAAAAATTTGAAAATGTTCTTTGAATTTTATAATATGTACTATAATATGAGTTGTATACAGTATTGTATATAATTGTAGTAATATATATATATATAATTAAAAAAATATTTATTAATAATTTTACTCCATTCTATATTAGATCAATATTTAATAATGTTATAAGGACAACAGAATAATATAAAATATATTTTGTAGAATATAAAATGTATTTTTATTTCATCATTGACATAATATTATAAGATATCTAGCTATAATTATTCACTGATATTCACTATGCGTCTCGTACATATCTACTTCCTTTCTCAAAATTAATCCAATATCTAGGCACCATATGATTTGTTACAGTAATAAACGCTTTCCAACTGTTTAAAAAAATCGCTGCTTTGAATGTGATAATACATGACTTTTCTGATTGAAGAGAATTTTTCCATATGTTGACTCCTTCACTTATTTGATATAAACTAGTTTAACTTACAATGTCGAGTCAAACATATGTATTATTTTATATTGTTAAATATAATACGAATTTATTTATAGGCTCAAGTAAAATAGCAAATTCGATATTTTTATTTATACTTCGATTAGATACATATTTCATCGTGAAAAAATCTGGAAGTACTTTACGCAGGCTTCCAATATTTAATAGACGAGAATTACGATTGAGGTAAAATTACGCTTATTCTTCTATTATGCTAAACGAACTACTTCAATGTCATATAATTAAATTTGGGAACTTCTTGGATTTTTACCCCAGCTTATACAAACAAAAATGTAGTATTCTTATTTTACATGTCTATTATATTTTATAGATATTTTAATTAGAAAGAAAAAAAGAAATCTTTCTTCATAATTTAGTTTCTAAAGTCAAATTGGGCACAGGTGACCACAGTTTTGATTTGCCAACTACTCTAGAGTTAAGTATATTACTGGCAGTTTACTGGACGTCATACAGGGGCCCGAGTAGCAAGGAGATCCCAGGAACTATGTGTATGCGATAAGAATATATAAAAGATAACACCAGATGCAGACGCATCAATTCAACCAAAGTATAACAATATGATCTGTTTATTCTTTCGGTAGGAGTAGGATTTGTAAAATACCTACGATTATGTTGGCAGTGAATGAAATCAGCTATCGTATAGCCGTGGAATCTAAGAAGCAAGACAGTTTAATATAAAATATGCCTGAACTTTCTTCTATTTATATGTGACAATGCTGTCGCGTATTTTAAGGTACATACACTGATAGATGTTTTTCATTTTTTGTACCATTTCACGACATGCACGTTAGCCATAATTCAATTGCATCTATAGTACATACAACTGTATTTTTGCTCTTTTCCATATTATTTTTATTTACCTTTAAGTTGGAAAAGATTTTGTCTGATGTCATTATAATGAATGAGTCATTACCATGATTTGCACAGCAATCAACATCAAAATGAGATCGTCATTTTTGTTTTAATGTCTTACACCTATATAATATGTCTATATCTATTTTTTGTTAGTGGTGATGTAGTCCATTGCTTATTTACAGTAGAGGTCCCATTCTAAAATTCATCTACTATTCTTTATATTGAGTAGTAAGTAAATCGCAATAAATTTTTGAAATTAGATATTTTGACAAATTTGCATCAAGATAGTAGAAATTTAAAAATAATCAGAGAGACGCATAACAATTTTATTAAATTAAATTATTATTGTTAGTATAAAGAATCCCTTGCTGTAATAAAACTTTGGACTGTAATCTAAACATTCAAAACTTCGTTGTAGGAATGGTATAAACATGTAATATTAAAATTTTTTACAACATATCTACATGTTATTTTTATGTTTCTTATACAAGTCTGTATACATTAATAAAAACGAATAAAAGACGATCAATTTCTACAAATAGATCAGTATAAGACAACATTTAATAACAGTAATGGCTTTCTACAAAATAAGGCGTTACCTAAGCTTGGTAGATTTTCCTCATATTTGACTGAAAATCTTTTATTTCAAAATGGAAAGAAACTAAAGAACTTTGATTCATTTTTTATATACTATGTATTATGCAAGATTTTTATTCCCTAAAAGAAAAATTTATACCATTAATGCAAGGAAATTTTTTTCAGATATTATAGTGTTATTGTATCAAATATTACGCAAATATGAATAATTAACGATATTACATTAGATCTTAGAAAAAAGTAACTTTTATGCGTTCTATGTAATAATGCATCTGTGCTGCCTCACAGAATATTCCACAAAGTAATAGTTTCCCTTAATTATTAAAAAAATCGAAAGTATTTCATTGCTCACAAATATTTGCTGATAATTTAAATCTGTAATGTAGACAGGCGACTATGATGAATTTGTGCAATATAGAATGGACTAATATAGTCACAATTAATTATCAATATTATGTATTCGAAGTATTATATATTCGAAATTTTTTGTTATTCTTTTCACAAATACTAAGATGAGTATCTAATATTCTAGCATGATGGCATAATGGCAAAACTACAATTTTATAGTATTTACAATTACAACGATCAATGGTTAGTCAAATGTTTGATAGCAAACTGAACTTACATGTTGCTCGTACAAATAGATATTCGTTTTTAGTTCAAATTTAACAATCATAAAATTGTACAATACGAGAACAAGAGTCTACCATATACAAATGTTTCTATACCGACAATATTATTTATGTTTACAACAAATATTTTGGAAGAACATTGCCACCATACTAAAAATTATATTTTCGCGTTTTTTTTCACAAATGAATAAATCGCATAAGAACTGATAATGAAAGAAAAAAAGACAATAAATGCTGCTGTAAACAATAAAAATATATAATCAATTCAAGCAACACACGATAGTACATAACAGCCGCCTTCAGTTATATTCTTTTAAGCATTTAATTCATTTCTCTACATTACAAAAGTTTGTAAAGAATAACGATACAGCGTACTGAACGATGCGGTACGCACAATTCCATCAAAATGGCGGATAGTTTTGCATAGGTACCACAACCGGAGGAATTGGTGGCAGCGGAAGTGTATGTATAAATGTGGGGTGATTCGGCTGAACCATAACTAACGTATGCTGTTGATTGGCCATGAAAGAATTGTATTGAGTGGTACTGTATTGTGAGTAAGATGCGTTAACTGTATCTGAAATATTTTTATAACAAAACGTGCCGGGCGTTTGGCAAGGTAGGGGCCCTTGGATAGGACCCCAAGCCAGCTGCTAGCATCGTCGGTTATGCCAATGTGTCATGTAGTCTTGATAGCTTACAGTAATCTTCTCGCTCTGGTATCGCGTCAGTTTTACACTGCGTCTAATATCCGGTGTAACTAAGCCCTTATAACCACCCTTATGTAGTAGCGAGTCTATAGTTTGTATCTGGTCCCAACCTATTAAAAAATATATATATTGATTTAGTATGGAGGTGAAAACGCATATTTAAGAAACATGATAATTAATGAAATAGTTTCTTATTTTTAATAAATTTACGGCGCACGATTTACAAACCTTGTTCAGTCGCAACATCAGGTAAGTAAGTAGCAGTTCTCTTGTTGCCTTTTTCATTATGGAACTCTATGCGAATCCCATGGACTCCTATCTCCCAATCTAAGTAGTCCACGCCGTCTTCAAAATGCCGCAATATAGAAACGCTTACATGTAAGCGTGAAAGTTCCTCTCGTGTTATAGGATTAAACCGCGAATCCTTGAAAGCACTATAAAACACAATTCATTGTTTGAAAATATAATCTAAAATTCTAGTCTAGCCGATTTAGGGCTAGTTGTTCCATCTTTGGATAAATTATGTAATTTAATTAATGGATGAACACACAAGAGTAAAAAAATAAGAGTATAAGAGAGTAAAACAGCTAAAGTTTACCGAAAAATTAAACAATCCAGCCTTAGAGAATATATATATTACCTAGTAGTAGCATATTCCCTAAGTCCTGCATGTAAGTGCATGGCATTGAATGTACCAATACAGCCGCGTAGCCGCATGTCCTTTCCAATAGTCCATGTTACAAACAAGGGACTAGAAAAATATGAAAAAAATATGTTAATGACCAAATAATCACAGGCTTCAAACTGGACATTAATTTATTCTGTATTATGAAAAAAACGTATGCTATTAAAGTATTAAATTAAATTCTTGATAATTTTAGTTATGCAAGTACAAAATTGCTAAATAATCAGCTTCTTAAATCAACTTAAACAAAGTTTTTACTATCTCTAAAAAAAAAAGTATTATTATTTCTATATAAACAGTTTATGTAAACATCATTGTGTTAAAATGCATGTTAAGTGTGATCAAAAGTAATCAATAATAATCTCTTCTAAATAAAAGGAGTAAAATTGAATAAAGTAGTGGAACATAGATGAATCATGTTTAATATCAAATATCTATCTCTAAGATCTAAAATTTAAGGGAATTGAGGAAATAAACAGTAAATAGAAACAAATTCCAAATACATTTACATTTCAGTAAATTATTCAGAAGCAAAATAATGCTGATGTGTCGCATAACCTTAGTGGAAGGTCAGCGGCACGAACCAGATGGAGGAGATTCCGAAAATATTAAACGCATCTTTCAGAAGACAATCTCTTCGCATTTTGTTTCCACCCCCTGCCCTTTACTCCGCGACGATGGTTAAAGACACAAAGGTACAGACTGATGATTTCAACAAAGAGAGATGCACTGGCGTGGGTGGAGGGAGAAAAAGGACAGCGATGAAAAGGGGGGAAAAAAAAGGTGCCACGATGCAGAATGAACAAAAGAGGGACCTGGGGAGGCGGGGCAACAAAGGTGCGCATGGGAAAGCCACAAGCGCGAGAGAGAGATGTGGCACGCGACGCATAGCCGAGACAGGGAGGAAGGGATGCATTGGACGCTAAGGTGACTGGCTCTCAGTACGGTGGTTCGAAACTCACAATGCTTCGTTGCTAAAGTTGGGCGGTTTTGGTGGGTCAAGTTGGTGGAGTTGGCAGTAGAG